AATAAGCTACCTGAGTTTTATACAGTTCATTCTTCAAAGATTCATCGCACACCTTCCATTCACTAAGCCATAACCTACTAACATTCATATTAACTTCTCTTAAGTGATATTCATTGGAAGACACTTTTAAAGAGGTTTACTTCTAGAAGACAGAGCAGGACACATTTGGGACTATCAATTCCCATGTTTCTAATATTTCTCAAAATTTCTGTGAAGCTAAAATTAGGAATTACCAATGGGAAAATTAACACCCACTGAAATTTTTCTGAAAAAAAAAAAAGAAAAAAAAAAGAACCCTGCATATCTTCTATATTTAACCTGGGAAAAAAACTGAGTTAATTTACAAGACAAGATAAGACAGTACCTCAAATAAAAGTGCAAATTTATGCAGAACTACCGACAACCATGTAACAACTATATAATAGTATTTTCATTTAACTACTACTGTTTAATAAAATTTGTGTTAGAAAGTTAACAAACTTTATCTGACTACAGTTCTGTAAAATCTAGGATCTAGACTTAATCAGAAGCTACCACTTAAGAGATCAGAACCGGTATTACAAAGTAATAAATGCTTAAATTAGAAGGCATTTTTAAAAATTACAGAACTTAGCTCATTTATCAGAAACTGGTGATAAACTTTATCTTCCCTTCTAGTCTACTTAAAAGTCAGCCCCTACGCCCCCCAAAAAATACCAGTCACAACAGTAAATTATATATCAAAAAGACAAAGCTGCAAGAAGTATTAGACTGTTGACATTTCCATAAAATAAGTTGTAGAAACATTATAGATATTTTCCACTATTCCTACTCGCCTAACTTAAAAGCCTGCACTTTTCAAATTCCAAAATTTCAAGCTTCCTTCAATGATATTTTGCCTGAGAATGGAGAGGACATATTTTAAATTATTGTGTGAGAAAGAAGAACATTTATGAATCTGTTATTTACAACTCAGAACACACTATTCCTTGGAGAGGGGGACCATAAACCTCTATTAGGACCTAGACACAACATGTATTAATCTACAGTGTTATAATTAGATATGAAGTACATATGTGGATCTTCAATATTTTAATATAAGATACAAAATTTACCCCTGTAATTATTCTTAATAATTAAGAATAGAGATCTAAGGATAGAGATCTAAAAAGTCAAATTCCACATCTGCTACTTGTGTATAGTACTTGTATATGACTACAGGGTAGCCTTACCTAGAGAGAAACAGAAGGAAAATCACTAAACTCTATCACTGAATGCTGTGCTCTTTCAGTCTTCCAGTCTCTCATAACTAAGCTCTCCATTTTGACTCAGACATTAAAAAAATTTTTTTAAAGTACACATATCTTAACCCTATTGGGGATACAAAGCTCTTTGACAGACATGGACTTTTTCTATTTAGTTTTATAACAATGATTGTAATGTTTGCTTCATGACTCCACTTGGGAAAATTTCATAAATATCACATTTAAGCTACCTATCATGAAACACACACACCCTAGATTCTGTGTGGAGGAGGGGAGAGGGAATACCTGTAAAGTATATTACATAATGTTAAAAACCAAACACTTGTCTGGCTTCTTCAGCTTCAAACTGTCAACATTCAGGAAAATATACATTTTCAATTCCAATCAAATTTTAAATCACAAAATCAGTAAAATGGTACAAGTGCCTTGTTAACAAATGACTTATACTATATTCCAAAGTTAGCAGCAAAAACAGGTCTAAAAAAAAAAAAAAAAAAAACCACAAAAAAGTAGGCCTAGTACCTAGATGATACCTAAGTAATATGATTCTCTTTCCAGAGCTTTTTCTGCTACTCTTTACTACCAATTTAACCAAATTCTGTAATTTGGGTAGAAAATGATCTGCTAGCACAAATCAAAGAAGTAAGTAAAAGTTACATACTCCAAAGCCAAATCAAGGAAAGGGATTTCAAATGATTTCCAATTTCTATGTAATATTGTTACATTTTTGCCTCAAATAAAAATTTTTGCTGTTTCCTTTAAATACTACATATACTATAATACTATACTACACATATATAAAGAATTCACCTCAATATTCTCAATAATGATAAAGAACAAATGTCTATACCAGCACTGTCCAACAGAAATTTCTGAAATGATGGATATTTTCTGTTTCTTCATTCTACAATATGGTAGCCATTAGCCTAATGAACATGTGAAAGGTGACTAATTCAGTTAAAATTAAAGTAGTCACATATGTCTAATGCTTACCATGCCAGATAGTGTAAGTCTAGGTAATTACTATAGGAAACAGAATTAGCTAATAAAATAATGAAAACAGAGTGTTTTTACTCTGTACCTGCCATGTGAAGCAGCTACAACAGCATGGAAAGAATATACCATTTTGCATTAAGAATTTCCTGGCTCCTTATTTATTGGCAAGAAGACACTAACAAAAATCACATAATCTTAGTTATACACACATCTCAAATGTAAAATGTAGCTACGAGTACCAGCTTTTGTGGATACTGGGGAATATAGTTTCTTTATATGTGCAAGTACGTGTAAAATAAAAAGTACCATAGACAATTATGTAGGCTGAGTATCCCTTGTCCAAAATGCTTGGGGCTAGATGTGTTTCAGATTTCTGAGCTTTCAGATTTTGGAATATTTCACAGTTTACATGTCCAGCATCCCTAATCCTAAATTTAAAATCTGAAATCTGAAACTTTTGATAACCATTACACTCAAAAGGCTTTAGATTTTGAATTTTTGGATAACGGATGCTCAACTTGTGTATTATTTCTGCAACTAGCTCGGAAAAACGAAAACATAGCTGTAAGTCAATCACAAAGCTATTAATCTAAGTCTAACCTCAACAGTATGATATAACACCAGAGGCAAGAGTCCAGTGACTTCTCAAATCATTGCTTCATTACAGCTCAAGTATACATGTTAAAAATGATATTCTGATTAGACTAACAGGTAACTTAATTATATATCACAGTTTTCATTCCTAAAGGGTAACTTTTTAACAGCTAATAGATACAAATTAAGAGAAAAGATGCCAAAATTTGGCATCCACTCTTTGAAGGAGCAAAAGACAAAGTATTGGCAAAGCCACTGAAGAAATAAATTTCCTAAGGAAAATAAAAAAACAAATAGAAATCCTGACTAAAACAATCTTATATTAATAAAAAACTTAAATTGATACATTAAATAAAATCATGTTTACCTTAAACTAAAGTTAGTGATTTATCAACTAATGTATCATTTAAAATTTCATCTTAAAAATTAGTCCAGTAATGAAATATACATCAAAAAGAATAAATCTCATTGTATGTGAATTTTCAAATAATTTTAAAAACACTCTGTTAAGAACAAATTTTTGGGGGGCTGGGGATTTAGCTCAGCGGCAAAAGTGCCTGCCTGGCAAGCGCAAGGTCGTGAGTTCAGTTCTGGGTACCGGAGAAAAACCAAAAAAAAAAAAAAAAAGAACAAATTTTTTGTTTCTTTTGGGGATGTGAGTGAGTGTGTGTGTGTGTGTGTGTGTGTGTGTGTGTGTTACTGGGGTTTAAATCCAGGGTCCTTGCACTGAGCTATTTTATATTCCAGTCCTTCTTAATTCTTTTTTTTTAAAACAGGGTCTAAGATTCTAAATTGCCTAGATTGGCTCAAACTTGTGATCCCCCTGACTCAACCTTCCAGTGTGTTGGGATTACAGGTATGTGCTACCATACCCAGCTTATGGTTCTTTAAATAAATGGCATAAAGAATTTCCTACCAAAACCCAGGTATTTAGGATACCTTTCCACAACAAGAAGTTACCATTACTGCCATTTCAAATTCATAAGTAGACTTCAAAATGAAATAAATTTAAAATTAGCGGGAGTGTGACCAACTTCTTCTCTAATAGTATTTATATAGTCTCCAAAGAATGACATGTGATTGCTGTGTTCTTTTTTCTTTTTATTTTGGTACCAAGAATCAAACTCAGGACCTTGCACTTGCCAGGCAGGCACTGTGCCACTGAGCTATAATCCTGGCCCCTTTTGATTGCTGTTTTAAGAAAAATTCAAATTTTGAGGGTTCACTTCCCAATTACTTTGGGAATTTCAAATAGAATATTATAGCTACATGAGAAATAAACCATTTTGGTACAAGCATAAGGTGCAGTTTTAATTCTGCTTTTCAAAATGCATTTCAGAAAATAAGCATTTAATTTATCTACATAGAAATACTTATTGAAATCTTACAAATATCTATGAAAGCCCAGAAAGTCTCATTTAAATACCACTGGGGATTCTCACTTGCTATATCTACTAGATATACTATAGTGAATATGGAAATAAATGGTTATTTATCACAAAAGAACAGGTGCTATCACAATTATTAATTGTCACTGACATTAAATTTGGATATTAAAGAAGCACTAAAAATTGAAAGACTTTGGTACCAAGATCAAATAGGAGACATACGGTCCCTTTAGGAAAATCAAGCCTATTTTTCCACTTTTACAGAGAATAAATTCTATGATTATTCCTTAATTCAACAAGAGAATACAGATCAGCAAAACAGAATTAATCTGATTGTTGAGAAAAATTCATTCAAATGGCAGTTATTAAGTTGGCAAAGACATGGAAAGCTAGGTTGAAGCAAAAAGGTCAACAATGGAAGCTATAAACCTTAGTTTGCTTATTAAAGACCAGTCACACTGTGTTACATTACAAGGTTAAAATTCCAATGGTCTTAAATTATCCTGTGTAAAATGAACCTAACTGCTAGAAACTTTAACATTTTTGTACTCTTATCTTCTTCAAGATTAGCAAAGTTTTTATTATACATTACATTATTACTTGATTACAAACAGTTTACACTCTAAACAGCAAACATTTTGGGGGGGAAAAGTCATAAAATAAAGCAGAATAATATCCTGTTCCTACTATTGTGTACACACTTATCTGTGGTTTGGCTGGAAATTAAAATTTTACAAACTATTTGGTAAGAATACTAAGAGAAAAACAGTTGACAAACCTGAAAGAATAGCTTCTTTCAAATACAGTAACATATGGGAGAACTTCCTGACATCATTCACCAACTCCTTGATGTAATCCGGGTCAAAAACGGAGTTGGAACTTACAGACTTGAGCCCCATTTCAGAAGCTGTAACATCAGTAGAGAGCTGGCCTGATGCCTCAACACGTTTTTTCTTTGCCTTTTTCTGTTTGTGAGCAATCATCCTCTCATTTAACAGTCAGAAAAACTGAAATCCTTAAGGGGCAAGAAACAAAAAAAAAAGAGAGAAAACAAATACCATATCAGCCAGGGGGACATACTAGGTTTTCACAAATAGTCCACAGCCCATCTTAGGATTCTATTTTTAGATTTTTAAAAATAAATGCATACATACATCCATACACACACATACTGCACTACTGATAATACTACTTCCCTGTTATTAAGTGTCAGTAATCCTGACAATTCTATGATGGTCAAATTACCATTCTTTTCATTTCGTAAGTAAGAGATCTGAGGTCTACATTTTAAAAATTTGTCACACTTTCAACTGATAAATGATCAACTAGGAGATAAACCTAGGACTGTCCTGACATCAAAATCCATGCTCTTAATAATTTCTTCTTAATTCCTATCATACAGAATCTTTTTAATTGTAAAAGTTGTTCTGAAACATCGCTTAGTTGAAGGCTTATTTCCCCTCAGTAACAGTATCTTCAAAAATAAAGGTGAAAGCTGGGCATGGTGCACTATAACCCCAGCACTCTAAGAACTTGAGGCAGGAGTGAAGTTGGAGCCTAGCCAGGGCAATTTAGAAACTTAGCAAGACTATCTCAAAATTTAAAAAATAAATAAATAATAAAGGGCTAGGAACACAGTTCAGTGCTCATATATAAAATGGGGGAAACATCCTGTCAACACATTGACCTCAGCAGATTATAGTAAGAGTTAAATGAGACAACAGTATAGCAATGTCCATTCACCACATAAAAGAAGTTCAATTACATTTACTTTCCCACTAATCTGATTTATCCCGCCTGAATAAATAACATTTTTGGGCTGGGGATATAGCTCAGTGGCACAAGCACCTGCCTGGCAAGCACAAGGCTGTGAGTTTGATCCCTGGTACTGAAAAAAAAGAATAAGTAACATTTTTGGTAATTTCAGGATGGTATAGTAAAGACAATGTTTTGGTATATGAAAAATTTAGATTTGAAATCCTGCCTCTAATAATTTTCAGATGTGCGACTAATACAATTTACTTACAGGTTTGTGTGAGGATCAAAAAGGATCATAAAATTGAAAGATTTTTCAATGTTTAAAACATCAAATCTTGCTCATCAGCATTTAAGAGAATCTTACTTTGTTTCAGAAAAATTAAATTAGCCCAAGCATTACTATTAAAAGGTCTTTCAGCTTGTCTTAAATATTTGGATACTTTGAAACTAAGGACTTCTGTGAAAAAAATCACAGTAGCAAGTTTTATGTAATAATATCTTCCTCATATAAAAACTATTACTGGATCATTTACCCTTGTACCTTACCCAATTCCATAGACTTTTCTTCCTGATTACAGTTCTCTAATTTATCCACTATTTTGTACTATTTCCACACTAGTGAATTACCATCACTTCTTGTCTCAATTACTGTGCTAATAATCCCTCCACATCCATCCTGCCCCTTTACAAAAGTAGTAGGCAAACTTTCAAACAAAAATCCCATGATGTCATTTGTCTGCTCAAAACAATTCCAAAAGACACAAGATGTCAGGCTCTATAAGGCTCAAGGTGAGATGTGGCTCCTACCTGCCTCTGTAATGTAATCTGGAGTCATACTCCTTCAACACACACCTCCTTTTCATTCTTTTCAGTCTTTGTAACCCACGGCATGAATTGTACATCATGACCAAGACACACATTAAGTACATTTGTGTATGGTGTGAGAAGACCTTTAGCCCTTTTTATTTTTAGACAAGGTCTTGCCAAATTGACCAGGCTGGCCTCAAACTTGCTATTTTCCTGCCTCAGCCTCCTGAAGTATCTAGAATTATATGGACGTGCCACTGCCACCACACCCAACTCTTGATTTTTTTAAAATGTAGGTTCCAACTCACTAAAGTGGTTTTACATACAATGCTATAACTTCAAGAAACCATCTTAGGGTCCTATCTGTATGCAATTCTATTTCCCTGGACCACTCACTACTCCTTTGTTTACCCACTATAAACTTACTCATATCAGCTCAACTTCCTCAAAGAAACCTTCTTACATGTACAAGTCCCACTACTCCATAACTACTACCACTAAATCACAGCAGACTCTCAAAAGGTATTTTGTTTGGGCTGCTCTGAGTGAAGACAAATTGTCTTAGGCCACACATAAAATATCTAATACTGTTAATGTAGATGACAAATTTTATTTTTAAATATTTTTTCATTTTAACATTAATAGAAAGAGGGTGTTAGGGTTTGTGTCTGGATTCCCCCCTAAGCCTAATGCAGTCATGGGGTGGGCTTCTAGAGTTTATGACTGATTCATGGAATTATGAATGTGAGTGCTACACTTGCCGTGGGGCAGATAGTTTGCATACAATATAAGGGAGGGAAAGAGGCTACTTGCCTCTGCTCCTCCCCTGTGCTTTTGTTGCTTTTGCTGTTTTCCACAGCCATGAACTGTTGCCCTCTGCCATGTGCCACTCTGCCTTGGAGCCAGCCAAGTATGGACTGAAACCTCCACAAACTGTAAGCTAAATAAACCTTTCCTTCCTTAATACTGGATGTCAGGTATTTTGTCTCAGCAATGAGAGAAAAGTAACCGAGACAGAGGGCAAGTAGGCTGTGGGCCACAAGCTGGATGTGCCTGCTGGAATCATATAGTTTCATCACTGCATTTATCACAGTTCAAGCAAATGATTTGTGTCTTCTCCTCTGGACTACAATCTTCAGGAAATCAAGACCATGTCTGTTTGCTAACCATGTATTCTTTGTTCACTGCACAGTGCTTAGGACATGAAAGATGGAATAATGAATAATGGAGAGAGAAAATTCAGGATGAATAATGAATTTGCAGAAAGAATATGGACTTACAGATTTATAGTTACAATAAATTTTTATAGAGCAAAAATAGCTTGTTGCAATATTTTGAAGTGATCATCAAGAAATTAAATAATAACAAATGCTGGCAAAACTGTGGAGGAAAAGGGTCTCATCTACATTGTTGGTGAGAATGTAAACTACAATCACACTGGAAATCAGTATGGAGATTCCTTAAAAAATTTAAATTAAAAATTCAACCCAGTGACTCCCCTTCTGGGTATCTTACTGAAAGAGTTAACGATATCATCTTACAGTGTCATATGCATATCCATGTTTATAGCAGCACAATTCATAACATCTAAACTGAGAAAGCAGCCTATAAATCCATCAAGAGATGAATGGAAAAAGAAAGTATAGTATTTACTCACAAACAATGTAGTACTGCTCTATTATAAAGAAGGATGAACTTGAGTCACTTGTAGGAAAATGGATGCACCTTTAGACCATAATGTTAAGTGAAATAAATCAGACACATAAGCTTAATAACCATATGGTTTCTGTTATGTGAGAAATCAAAAGTATAAATAAATAAAAGAGCAATATAAAAGATAAAACAATAGGAAATAGGGAGATAGGTCTTTGGCAAATGGTAAGGGGACCACGAGATAGAGGGAGGGGTTGGAAGGATAGGAGACATAAAAAAATAAGATGTATTATGTACATGTACCAACTACCCACAATGGATATATTCATGATGTGCCACAATGTACTAAGAAAAATTTTGTGAAAAAATTTTTTAAAATCTGTCTAAAATATTCTTTCCAAAAAAAAACGATATGCGGCTGAGTGACGCCAAAATTACATAAAACTGAAATCAAGGTTGTATTTCTGGGGTGTAGCTCAGGGATAGATAGCATGCAGGAGGCCCTGGGTTTAAGCGCCTGAACCGAAAACCAAACCAAAAGTTGTATTTCTATCAATGTTTCCCCTGATTATATAAATAGGGTGCTACAATATTTATTAGCTTTATTCAATGTCCTTTGATTAATTCAAATTTCTGAGGATGTAATTTCTATACTTAAACTATACTTAAAGTGTATAATTTCTAAAATGAACCTAGGACAATTTTTGAGCATATTACTATACTCAAATCTCCTTTTGCACCAATAACTTTTAAGTTTTGAAACACTTTTTACAACTTAGTTACTAAATTTAAAAACTCAAAAATAATGATTTTATTAAGTAAACCTCAAAAAGTGTTAGTTTGCTAGGTTAACAGTCTCCTCAGTGATTCGTGTAAGATGGCTTTTGAGTGTGTTTTTGTCAGGGGAGGAGAGGGGAGAGTCTAAAAAGGATTACACCTAACTCTAGGTAGCATTATAATTAATGTGGTAATTTTGTAAGTCTTTATCATTTTCACATTTTAAACTGAAAAAAGGAAACACGGCAGTTAAAATGTTTAGAATAACAAATGTAATGGAAGCTTCCATAACTGTACGAAGTTTGGAAAATATATACTGAGATCATATACACCTCTTTCCCATGTGCCAAAATGAATATTCTTGAGGTAAGTGGTAACATAAAATGTAGTTAATAACAGATTGCAACTGGCAATTAAATTGGATACTAATGCATAGAAAGTACTAAGTAGTGTCTAGCTCATCATAAAAACTTAATAACTGTTAGCCATTACTATTAGCATTATAACTGGCTTATTGTGGGAAATTGTTTTTAAACATAAGTAATAAACAAGCGCTGGCTTCACTACATCTGTAGATTGTGAGCAAAAAATATAAGACAGGAAACAATTCCAAAAAACGCAACTGACTTAATGGAAACCTACTAAAAGGCCTCCAAATAAAGTTTGAACTGTGTAAACAGATAGTTGAGCCAAGTATTTGTGAAACTCTAATTCTTATATCCTCTCCTCCAAATCCAAATCATCAAGATTAAAAACATGTATTAGCCATTTATCACAGAATTCTATAACAAGTGGAAAATCACCACATAAAACTACTTTCTCTGTGTATTCTATATTCTAAGTACATTAGAAAGGTGGACACAGAGCTGAGGGTATTAGTTTAGCAGCAGCACGTGCCAAGCCCTGGGCGGGGGCTAAAAAGTGTACATGAACTCCCTGGTCTCCCAAAAGGGTAGCTTTTCCAAAACTTTAGGAGCCTATGTCAAACGTTCCTTGTCCCACACACATACAACGCAAAATGTACATTACAGAGATGTTTTTCATTATAGGCATTGGGGTAATTGAAGTGTAAAGCTGCCTCCAAATATCTGTGCTTAATTGGTTTCCATCTTACTATTTCCGATTTGGTAAGAATTGAAAGAAAAAATAAGAAAAGTTAATGCTGAAGGTCTTTACTTACAGTTTAAGCACCACCCAAAACAGAATAGGATGTGTCAAAAAGTTTTATCAATAATATGCAAACCATTTCTAAAGGAAGGCGTGCAACACATACACTTCATTCCTGTGCAGTGCGAATCCAGCGCGCTTTAAAAAGAGGAAGCTGCCCAGCCTCCCACGCCTCCAGAATGTCTAGCATTCCTGGCAGGCAGCACGCTCGTCTCTGGCCAGCCAAAAGTACCCAATGCCAAAAAGCACGTTCCCCATCCGGGACTTAAATACAGAGGCAAGGCCAGCGCAACCAAAACAGACAGCTTAAGTTGATAGCAATAAGCGATAAAGTCAAGGAAACACAGAGGGGAAGGGGCGCTCCACTCCTGCCTTTTCCGAGTTAACATCCTGCCACCAGGGAAGGCTGGAGGCAAATTCCCTCTTGAGGAAGTTTAAAAAGATAAACATTGAGACACGAGGTTCATCACTTGGACTCCGTCTTGAAACGCCTCAGACTTGCTATCACCGGTCCAATTAAATTTAAAATTTTTTTGGTTTGGTTAAAATCATCAACCTCAAGACCGAATGGAGACAAACCACTGAGACCCAGGCTCCCTCAAACAAAACATGCCTCCTAAACTCAAGACGATGACAATCCTAAAACACCTCGCTGGACTGAGGACAGCAGTCCTCGCGGGGCTGAGCCCTCCGCTGCCGGCCCCGGGGCTGGGTGCTGGGGCAGTTCCTACCCTCGGCTTCCCTGCGCAAGAGCCAAGTAATCAGCGACCCGTTCTGAGACTCAGTCAGAAGCTGGCAGACAGCCTGCGCCGGGTGGTATCGCTACCTGTTCGCTGTTGCTACGATCCACGTCTGCTCGCGCCTCGCGCTCGTCAGCCCCCACCGCCCGGCCCTACCCTTGGCTCCCGGCCCCTCCGCTGCGGCTCAGGACCGCCACCCTTCCGCGGCCCGCGCGGGCGACCCGGCCCCGACTCTCGCCGCCCCACACTCACCCGGACGCTCCATCCCGCGTCCCGGACGCCAACGCTCACG